TTCATTCTTTTTCCAATGTGGGACAAAGGTGGACAAATATCCAACAGAAGGTTTTAGGGTTTTGGTTTGACAGAGTAGTTTGGTAAGTTATCAATCTTTGTATGTGAAACAGGTGCTGATGGTTCGTTTGGAGTCTGATCTAGCACAAGTGCTGCTTGCGGCTTGTAGAGGTGAACTAAATTCTGTGAGCCTGGATTGGGCCCCTGGTTCAGCCATGGTAGTGGTCATGGCCAGCAATGGCTACCCAGGAAGCTATGCTAAAGGAAGCAAGATTCAAAACCTCGAAGAATCAGAGGTATCAGCTCCGTGCGTAAAAATATTTCACGCAGGCACAGCCCTTGATGCGGATGGCAATTACATTGCAACGGGCGGGCGGGTTTTGGGCATCACCGCAAAGGGCAAAGATCTTGAAGAAGCCAGAGACCGAGCATACCGAGCTGTTGAAGAAATCAAATGGGATGGAGGGTTTTGTCGAAATGATATCGGTTGGAGAGCACTTCCTTTGAAACAAGAATCCTCAAAATGGTGAGGTTTAAGTTTAACATGTGCAATTGCAAGTATTTTGTGTCATTTCAAGTAATATTTAGTTATGGCTTCAAATAAGTTGCAGATTTGACATTTTTTTTTTGGGTCTAACAAATAGTTTTCAAAGATTCCAATTTATCTGACAGATTTAAATTTATGAACCAAACGTCATCTTAAAATTATAAAAGACCGTTTCATATTCATACCGACCAGTAATCTTTTGAAAAAAACACGTAACTGGTTCTTTTGGACCGGTCCTTTAAACATGAGCAATTGTTGGATTTTTGTTTCTGAGAGTGTTTTGATTGATGTGATTAAAAAACACAAACATGACCTATTTGCATTTTGCATTCGAGCAGGGACGAACTCAAGATTTTTTTTAATCGGTGGCACCGTTTGATTATGAGAAAAAATATAGGGAAATTTTTTCAAAAAGGTGGCATCATTTGACTATAAGAAACAAATGTATATAAATTTTTTTTCAAACGATGACACCATTTGATTAAGAAAATGACACTAACAAAATTCGAAATTGAGGCTGTGGTAGAATAAAAGTCTTGCATACCAATTCTACCAAATAAAACTTGTTCTCATTGTAATTTCAAAATACATTCGATGACACATAACAAATTAATACGGATACACTTTTTACGAATTTAAATTTTTTTACCCTTCGACAGAGAAATAATACGGTGACATGTGCCACCGTATACTCTACTGTAGGTCCGTCAGTGCACTCGAGCATAGAGACAAAATGGTCCATGAATAATATTAATAATAAATAAATAAAAACAGTAATCGGACTTTTGGTAACCGTTCCAACTTTAAAATTTTAATGACCAAAACTAATCGATGAGTATTTTAGTAATTGGGTCCAAACCTCTTGTAATCGGTTACGGGCTTATGAGCTACTTTACCACCATATACTTTGGTACTTTAGTTCAGTCGAGTCTTTGACCATTTGACAAGCACTTTGAACAAAAACATGTGGTAGAATGTTGTAATTAATATTTATAGTGACCGAAAAAGGTATCGTTTTAGAAAAATGTAATTGTTACATTTTTTTAATTAATTAAATGATAATTTTATCTTTCCTAATAGATGGAGAAATTTTTTACATCTCATAATTAAGGATAAACTTGGAAAGTATGCATTTATTTACCTTTGAAAGTGTACATTTATTTTAGGACAAATTAAAATAGATTTATAGCATTACCCATTGTATATGAATACAATAGAAGTTATTCTTTTGAGTGTTGATTTGACGGAGTTTGCCGACAACTGACGGCGATGGTCTTTTCGAGGGTTTACAACTATGATGGATTGTTTTCCCTCTTTCGTTGTGTTTCTCGAATCTGGAAAGAAAAGAAGAGAACGAGAAGGAAAGAAATGTCTTGTTTGTGTTATTAAGAATGCAGAAAAGGAAAGGGAAAAATATGATTTTCAAGGGTTGTTATTTCTTTCATTTCACTTTCCTCCCACGTTTGGGAGGAGAGTTTTGAAAGAAAACTGATAATTTAATTTTCTTGCCATTCCTATATTTCTATCTAATTTTTTTGAGACCACGGGTTTCTATTATTTTCCTCAATAAAAAAGGTATTCAAAACACAAGGTTAGAGTATTATGCTTCTCCAGTAGTTTCTCTAAAAAAAAGAATGGAGTAAATTACGGTTTGGTCCCTTGGTAAGAAGATTTTTATGAAATCGGTCCTTAGACTTCATTTATTACGTATGCTGGTTGTATGTACATTTTCACGGATTTGGTTATTGGAACAACCGGCCATTCGATTTGAGACGTTAACTCAACCAAATTATACAAAGGCCTGCTCTGAAACTCAAAAACACCCTCCCACCTTTCACACCGCCACCCTCTTTGGCACCAATACCACCAGAGAGTGTATTGGTGTCCTAAAATATGAACATTAACATGCCATTTTTTAATATTTTGCATTTTTTAATATTTTGCATTATAGACGCAAAATTAAAAACCTAAATCAAATCTAAACCCTAAATAGTAGGGTAGGAGACACAGATAAGACAACAAGAAGTTTCATATCTAAGTTTTCTTGTAGTTTTGGATATTGTTAGTGTTGGATTCAATTAAGGGATTTTTTTAAGCCTTGGTTATGGTTATGGTGATGGAGAGGTCAACAATAGTCTTTGAGTTCTGCAAAAGGGACTCATTTTGTTCTTTTGTTTCTTTTCCGGGTGCTAGGCTTCCGGAGAAGGGGGAGGTTTCGGTCACCGGAGAAACAAGATTGCCATCGGAGAAAGAATGACGGGGTGTTCATGATTTCCCAAAATTAACAAAACAAACCTCTGTACAATTTGGTTATTTGACCCTCCAAGTTTCAATGCATACATTTTGCCCCCTTCTATTCTTCTACTTTTCACAAGTTTACATCTAAATTCATATCCTTTTTATTAAACATATTTTTTGTTTAATAAAAGTAATTAGTTTAGAAGAAAATAAAATAACACAAGTATACAGCAATAACCATTTAAAAATAAATAAAGAAAATAATATGCAATTTAATAATAAATAAATATCAGATAAATGATACACATTAAGAAAAAAAAAAGAGAAATAAAATTGTTAAAGGCAAAGCCAGTGGATGAATAGAGACGGATGGACATGGTCACATGCCATCACTTCATGGTTTCTTTATAAGGGAAAAAAACAACGTTTTTGAACGTTGTCATCGTATTATTTTATTGGATGCCATCATATAAGTTTTTGAAACTAAAATCTTAACAGAAAACTTTAATGGCGGAGATGGTAAACGCTCTTGCCTTTGAAGACATGGGTTTGAGTCCCAAAAATGTTGTCAACTATTTTGTTTTTTAGCTTAAATTTTGGTGTCTTTTTATATATCTCATGTTCATAAAAATATACCTAGATAAGACTTGAATATGGGTCTCTTCTATGTAAAGACAAGGAATCAACCAACAATCTATACTAATATTGTGAAGAAAAAATTAGATATTTTTTCAAGTAAAATTGTACCACCACTTAAAAAAAAAAAAAAAAAAAGTACGCTTCTATGAGTAAAGAGATGCTACTTTACACTCTTTTAGAAAAACATGATAATTCACAGGGCACATTGAATCAAAATTATGCAAACCAATCACTCAAACACCAATTAACAGAGAGCAGCTGTCGATATGATATACACATTATATGTTCTTATATATATACTTAAATAAGAACCATGACTTCCAAACACATATGTTCTCATACATATATATACTTGTATCAAGCTTTACAACTATGCCACCATACTTCTCTTTACTTGCATTTGTAGCCAAGATAGACTGAAGCCTTATATATCTAACCATCATTCATATATGAACAACACTTTATCCTAGATTCATGAACGTCCCGACCTAACGCTAGGGCTTGGTGATACACCGTTAGGGCTTCTTACTAACGGACTTCCTGGAGGACTCTCATTTCGATCATACCTATAATTCCCATAGTAATCCTCATAAGCTGAGCCTCTGTGATAAGACATATGCCCCCCTCCCCCTCTATTTGTTCTGTAGTAATCACCAACGCCCGTTGACCTTGTTTTCCCTACATGCTCAGGACCACTACTCTTGTGAGGGTGCCGATCTAGCGGAGGTTTGGGAGAGTGGTTTGGTTGAGGATGGTAATGATGGGGTTGTGGCTGCTGTTGGTGGTGGTGGTGGTGATTTGCAGGGTTCTGCTGCTGGCTTTGGTTCCAGTTTGGACTTGTAATTTGATGGTTGCTTGGGGAATTGCAATGAAGATTACATAAACTAGGGGAGCTATGGGTTCTGGATAGTGAACCAAGTTTACCATGTGAAGTGGTGAAATCATGGTTTATGCTGCTAGTGGCAGTGGTGGAGTTGGTGGCCGTGCTGGCGGTCTCAGGTGGTGTTCTTGGGGAGGAGCAGGCCGAGGAAATGCTGAAGGTTGTGTAGCTAGTGTTAATTGGGAATGGTCTGAAGGTGTTATACATTGGGGATGGATGGACAGCAATGCCATTGACAGAATTTATGTATCTTTGCTCAAGGGACTGGTGGTCCATTGGTCCCATTTGGTTCTCCATAACAATCGGATTCGCTGAGAAAAGGAAGGCCCGAAGTCTTGGTGCTCCCAGGAGTTCATGGCGATCACATTCTTCAATCATGTGACGAAGATCTTCATCAGATCTTACTGTAACCAAGATATCAAGATCCTCCGGCATTAACTGGTACTTGAGGATCATTTCACCATCGAACATGCTACTAAGCTTCTTCATAAGTTCTATATTTTGAATCCAAAGTTAGATCTAAGATTAAATAGAAAAATTCTGAAATTTCTTCATGAGTTCTATATTGTACTGCAAAAGCTAAGTTTGATTAAAACTACATGATTTCATCTTCAATAACAGAAATGGAAATCCAGAGGAAGGATTGCAGATCAATGAAGTAAGAATCAAAAGAAAAACAAGCATTATTTCAAATAATAATATCTTGAACAAAATTACATTCATGATTCACGGTGACGGATTGATGAATTCTTTTGTATGCTCAGGTTTAAATAGAAATCGAAAGAAATTATATGATTAATATGTACTTCGATTATAATCTCGTGGATCATTTCGGTTATGTTTTTCATTCATCACTTGTATATTCGATCCTAATTGCACAACGTCATTCTTCCATCTACCCATTCACGGTTCGAATTAAGTTGGATTTTGTTCATCTACCATTGAAATTTCATATCGAATCAAATGATTAACCTATTAAATCGTTAAAACAATGCGGTCTGATCTCCTACGTATTACACGAATAATTGACATCACAAATTGATTCGACAAATTGAACGTTAGGGTTCAAGACATAATACCGGTGATGGAAATGTCGCGGGGAACGCAGATGACGCGAGTTTCACCGCCAACGTACTTGAGATGGCCGTCGGCGGGGCGAGGGAGGATCTTACCGCCATGACTGCATAGAAACTTCACTGGATTTCTGGGGAGGGAATGAACATCGGCGCCTCTGATGGGCATATTTTTTGTGAAAGATGAAGGTATATACTAGGAATTATAGGATGTAACTGAGTTGTGGGAAATCGGGAGACTCAGAATTGATGTTTCGAAATTTACACAGTCGACATGGATTTTGTTACTAAATTCGAATTCAACCGCTCATAACGGAACTAAACCCCTTTTTTTTCAAATGCATCAAAATTCAAGTAAATTTGTATGAGTTCTAATTTACCAAAAACTTATTCAAACAAGTCACAAAACAAACTCTCAAGGTTGTTATTTACACCCTCGTTTATTAGAAAAAACAAAAAAAATTTACAAATAGCATTAAATGATCTAAAAGTTTGAAAAGTTTCTTTTTTCTCTTTCTTACTCCTCCATCTCTCTCTTACTTTTTTTTTTGTTTTTTAATTAATAGATAATAATAATAATTTGTTAATTTATATTAATTATAATTTTTATTTATGTTATGTATTAATCAAATTTAAAATTAATAAATTAGAAAAACAATAAGCCTTGTTATTTATAAAAAATAATATATATCATTTATTTTATAATTTACAAATTTCAACGATCATATATTTTGTCCTTATAAAAATTGAATAAGAACTTTAAAAATTCATATGTAAATTTTTAATTTTCATTTTATCTATGTTTTCATAGAATATATCATTAATCTTTCTGCAACTTAAAAATTCAAAAAATAATCTATCATTTTTCTTCGACTTTAAAACTTGAAAAAAATAACTAATCAGTTCTTATTTAAGTTTTTGAATATTCATATAATAATTTCATCAATTTTCAATAATCTCTAAAAATTCAGATAATAACTTGTTGGTTTTTATTAAAAATTCAAATATAAATTAGTTTAAATTGTATTATGTTTTTTTTATATAAAAAACAATATTGTTATAACAAAAATATTTAGAAAAGAAATTTTGAAAACATAACCTTAGATGTGGTTGGAAAAAAAAAAAAAATTGACTTCTGAAAAATGTTAATGAATTTAATGTTAATTTAATGAACTTAATATTAGTTAAGTGAATGATATGTATTTAATTATAACATCAGATCAACTTTATAACTCCTTGAACTTTTTTGAGTTGAACTCATTTGCACCAAATGAGCATTGGATGGATGTTTTTGAAACAAGCTTGTTGATTGCTTGAAAATACAATACGATGCTACATTCTTTAACAAGTATAGGTAGTCTGACACTCTTCCCACTTCGATCTAGTCATTTGCCGTAGTATAAACATGTTGCTTTTACAATTAGGTACATTAAACGGTAATCACTACGTCAAAATATCTTTGGCATAAGGACACCCGATGTCTTCTATTGTACCAAATTGGTTTCGTTTCAAATATGATTGCACAACAACATGGGCTACTCCGGACATGACCCGAATAAATAAGTACGAACAACTGTTATCAAGTAATCGTACTACGGAATTTACTTCACTTGATTGAGTTGTAATATTTTTAGATTTTTTGTACTTTATTTGTTGATTTATTAATTAACTTATTTTGATGATCTTTTTATCTTTGTAGCTTTAAATATTTATCTTAAAAAAATACATATATAAATTATTAATTAATGAAAACGTTAACAATACAATTAAAAAATTAAAAATAATTTTATAGTTATTTGAATTAATTTAGAAAAAGTTAGTTAACAAAAATTTATTATAAAACATAAATTTAGAAAAATAAAATTTGAAAACAATGTTGAAAAAAATTGTAAAACATAAATTTATAGGACATAGATTTTTGAAAAACAATTAATAAAAAACATTTATTAGTTGATTTTGACCTAAATGATAGGAGGGCGTGCACTTACCATGTAACACCCCAAAAATACATATACCAAAAAAATCATGAGAGAGAGAGAGCCCAAAGCATAAAATAAAATTTAACCAATAAGAGAAATAGAATGGCGGTTACAATCCGGCTAATCGAGATGATAAATAACGACTTATTAATCTACATCCTAAATCTAGATTAAAGACGGGGGTTTCTAACATTCTTCAAAAGTCGAAATGTCCAAAAACGCAACGCGCAAGAGAAATAAAGAYTAAAATTACAAAGAGTAATTCACGAACCAACGCTCCTCTCGACCCTCTAGAGCCCCACCGCTAAAGAAACCTAAAAGTAAATATAACAAGAAAGAGAGAGGGTTAGGSTTACGCCTAGTGAGTCCAAACAAAAGAGTTTAAGTAAACATAAAGGAACATATATAAATATACATATGTAAATAGCTGACGTAACTKTAAATAGGAATAGAGACAGCAAGACCTGAATAACTCGAAGTGGAACAATAAAACATCCGAARATGACGGGGGRGGCCCGATTTACCGTTGATTATGACAGACACAAAGTAAATCATAAATCAACGTTATAGAGCATCACTTATAGGTTTAAAAACCATCGACATCAACCAAATCCAGTCATTTAGTCATTCGTGATCATAAGCTCTTTACCTCGGTAATTACATAATAATCACAATGCCYATTACCGAGTGGTAGTGAGAGGATGATTTGGTGATTACATAATAATCACAATGCCTATCACCAACTTATACCATCCTTCACACAAACGTAA